AAACACGTCAGAAATGCAGTACTGGAAAAGTATCCTCATCATCAATATGTTTACTACATAAATCAACAATGAAATTCAAAACAATTCAGACTCATGATCCAGTCTAGCAGAGTAATCCAGCGCTAACAGCCAAAAGCCTGAAGTTGTGATACGATCCTCAGTATCACTTGCGTGGCCATCAGCTTTCCAGGGAATTTACCTATTTAGAAGTAAATTAGTGTTTTTGTTACATCTTGAGCACAGGAAAGCCACACGGTGCATGAAACCTTCAACAAAAATTAAAGTTTAACCACTAGCAGAGAAGAAAAACTGGTGTCTGAAGACCCCTGCTTTCTGTCAAAATAGGAAAAATCTTTGTTGTAACAGTAATTAAAGTCAAACACATTTGGTGCATACTCATTATTTAATTTTTCAATGAACTAAAGGATCTATCTTCCATTAACCACAAAAATAAGACAGTTAATACACTGCATAGCTGGAAAGAAAAAAAAAACACTACATACACTAAAATACGCACGTCCAACTCACCAGGTTTTGTGTTTTTGTTGCCTTCTTTTTATCTTTTAATAATGAATACAAAAAATAAAAGTTGTTACTTGTATCACACAGAATCACAGAAACACCAAGGTTGGAAAAGATCTACAAGATCAGTCCAACCATATACATTATATACATTAACTATATCATATATTTCATATGCAACCTAATTCCTCTTCACTCAATATGGTCCAGGGAAGCAAGAAGGTGGGCACTCCTGTACTAAAATGCGTTGTACCCAGAGTCATACCTGAGTAGTTTCGAGCAGATGAAGAATCAGGAATACTTAGTATCTCAGGCTGGGCAGCAGCTCTGCCACAGCTTCATTCTAAGTGACAAAGTTACTTTCATTAGCATACATTAGAAGTCAGCCATTAAACAGCAATGCCCCACCCCCTACATTAAGGCCTTGGAAACTAGGGAAGAGGAGGCTGAGGGGAGACTTTATTGCTCTCTTCAAATATCTGAAAGGTGTTTAGGGTGACAGCGGGGTTGGTCTCTTCTCACTGGTGACAAGATGAGGGGAAATAGCCTCAAATTGCGCCAGGGTAATTTTAGGTTGGATATTAGAAAACACTTCTTTACAGAAAAGGATTGTTAAGCACTGGAATAGGCTCTTCCAGAGAGGTGGTTGAGTCACCATCCCTGGATGTGTTTAAAAACCATTTGGATGTGGTGCACAGGGACATGATTTAGCAGAGGATTGTCCAGCATCTGTGTTGCCTAAGTTAGATGCACATCTCTTCACCTCCACTGCAACATGGTGTAAAGGCAACAACTATTTTGAAAGTAAAAAAATTTGCACCAAATTTTAGGAATGAAAGAATGATGAACCTAGTAGTTGTTTTAATGAGTATCTTAATGAAGTTCAAGCAATCTCATCTGAAACAAGGACTTCTAAAAAAAATGAAAGCATCTGGAAAAAATAACCAATGCACTGTATTCTGTTCAATACAGTCAACTGCGCAATGTTGTAGTATAATCTTTCTTCAGCCTGAAAGGAGACAGACTTGAAGGAAGATCTGAAGAAGGGCGCAGTAATTTAAAAAAGGTGATGCAACTGAAGGAAATAAAATCCAAAAAAGGCAAGGTCTGACTTTCACATCCAGGACAAAACAGTGACAACAGTAACAGACAACATCAATTATCTGTGTTCACATTCCTCAAATAGAGCCCAACTTACTCTGACAGGACAGAAAGCACACTTCTATGACTGGCATCACTGCCAGCATTCAACTTTGTGATGCTTTAGCCAAGCTAGCTTCACATGAGTGTGAAACATATGAAAGAAACACTTTACATACAGCTTAATGGCACAGAAGATGACCAGGACCTTGAAAGGAGCTTTTTCTGCAGAGCAAGGTTATGACATGCTTTTCACACACCTTGAAGGCTGGCTTCCAAAGAAATCATCATAAAAATTGTGTTTGAAGCAGCAAAAGCTGAATGACACTTCAGCAAATGAAAGATAAAAATAACTATACATAGGTCGTTTCAAAAGTAATGCCTCCTATTTATTTCCATGGGAACTACAACAGATAAATAGAGCATGGTAACAGTAACTGACAGAGAAAACTTTCACCTACAAAACACTATTTTTCAACACAGCCATCACCATTAGCTATGCACTTTTGCCAGCAAAGTGCCACACTTGTAAAAATCTGCACCAGTGGAGGCGACCCACTGTTTCACAGCTGCTATGATGGTGTCATTGCTAGAAAGTTCTCCATTCTCCATATGCAACCCACGTTTCATTAGCCCAAATAGATGAAAGTTGGAAGGCGCCAAATCCAGATGATATTGTGGGTGCGACAGGACAGCCCAGCCAAGACTGGCAACATGCTCCACAATCTTCACTGGTTGCAACAAAAAGGTTGTCTTCTCCTCTGGCCAGGCTCTAGAAGTTGGTGCCTTCTCCCTTAAACAGCATCACAATGTAGCAGTCAGAGTTGATAGTCTGTCCAGGTTCCATGAAATTCAAAAGTATCACACCTTTCCCATCCCAAAAAATGGTACAAATCCCTTCACCTGCTAAGAGCTGCATCTTGAACTTCTTCTTTGATGCGGGATTCACATGTCACCATCAATTGCCATTTTGACTCCAGCTCATGGAGGTGACATCATGTCACCTCACCGGTAATGATGCAATCTAGGAAACTGAGCAATCACGGGACCCACTAGGCACAAACTTCACAATATTCCAACACTGCCACCTCTAACACATTGAAGCTGATATTCAGCTTTGTTCACAGTTCCCTGATTGTAATCTGTTGATTTGCATGGATGAGCTGACCAAGATGCTCTTCATTTTGTGGTGTGACAGCTGCGTGTGGCTTGTCTTTCACATCACTGTTGCCACTGCTGAAACGTACCACCCTCTGCCTCACTGCACTCACATCTACTGGTTGGTCTCCATCAATGTTCAGCAAGTGCCAATGAATGTTATTAGGTGCAATTCTGTCCACATGGAGGAATACAAGGATGCATCTTTCCTTCAGGTGCACTTCCATTTCAGACACCATTTTCTCAGACTGCCCCTCTGCTGCCATCTGTCATATAGCAATTAAGTTTAACAGAATACTGGTGGGAAGGTTCAACATCTACTGCCATACTATCAACATCCACCTCTGACGTTGTGGGCCAACATAATGCAGTTGGACGCACTGCTTTTGGAACAGCCCTCATAGCAGCTACGCATCTCTGAAGCTCCTGACCTACATCTTCAAAACAGACTTACAAGTAGAAGCCAGATACTGAAAGCTAAGAAAAGAGCTCATGGGAATACTTTGCTTTAAGAAGATCATTATCTTTGTCTCTTAATGACATCTCTAAGCATTTAGCCATGTTTTGAGCATTTTGTTTCTTCAATCACACAAATAGCGTAACAGGAAAATCATACTAATGCTGAAGTTGAGAGCGGAGCATTTTATGAGCTAGTACTGTGCACACGATCAAGGCAAACAACGAAACCTCTAGCTGAATGCCAATTAGTTTAAGGCACTTTTTTGATATCTTTTAGAGCACCAGACATTGAAACTGTTTGTCTAGACCCCCTGGGAAATGTAAGATTCATTCATTTGTTCTCAGAACATGAAGAAAACACTTCCAAAGTGAAACACTGAAAATGTTTTTTTTTTCTTCCCCTCTAATATGAAATATACCAACAAATACGCATTTCTTTTCAGGAATTCATTTGTAACAGACTCAAATAATTCAATTTATGAATTAAGATATCCAGTAACACAACAGAAAAAAAAAGTAGGATTAAAAACTCAAAAAAGCAACATTTCATCAGAAAAGCCTATCCTAAATAAGAATACAGTAGCCATTTGAAAACCTACAGAAATAATAATCTATTTCCATACTATATTCCAAAGTTAAGTATTGCTGCATACTCAAAATATTATTTTAAGGGTAGTTCAGTTACTCTGTTATGAAGTTATGTGCTCTAAATGAGAAGTAATGATGAACGAGCCACTCTTTGTATTCTAATACATATCATTTCTGCAGGTCAATCAGCCCTCTTAGATGCTCAAAACTAAGGTAGTGGTTTCTTTTCCATAAGTTCTATTATGACTTTGCTTTATTTTTCCTCTTTACTTGAAAACCTACCCACCTGCTTTTCCCTTTAAAGATCTGTATAATAACAGAATCCAAGGTGAGCTACTGGAAGACAGTAACATCTTCTAAAGCCAGGTACACTTCTTGCAAGTGACTTACTTATATTTAAAGGAACTGAGATCAAGTTATTTTCTAGGAGGGTCAATGGCCTCCCATGCAATTTTTTCATTTCAACCCCAGAAAGAACAGAAAGCTCTCTGCTGTTAAAAGGAAAACCATTAAAATAACTAAGGCTGCACACTGGACACCAAATATTTAATACAGTTAAAGAAATAAACGCGTCTATTAGGTTAGCATCAGTACTATCCGCCTGGCAATAAAGTATCCTTTAGGACACATTAAACTGCTACATCCATCTTCATCTGCCCGACATGAATAGTTGCTGGTGTAAGGGGACGAAGAGACAGTAGTTACCAGCGTTATTAATGATGAAAGAGTACCCAAGACCTGGCATCTTGGAAGAACCTTGGCTACCAGTATTTAAACCCCTCGCACACCACCTTTTTCCCTTTTCTCACTGCCTTCTATTGCTCTGTAAGAGGAGGAAGCCAGCCATCGGCCTCCTAAGAAACAACTCGCCGAGGGAGGGAGGAGGAAAGGGAGGGGAAGAAAAAAGAGAGGAGTAGCACCTCCCAGCACGCTGACACCCCGAGGCTCACACCCGCCCCTGCAGCTCCGCTCTCCCCAGACACCGGGCCCGCCCTTTCTCTCCCCGTGCCTCCATCCCGGGCTCGAGGGCCGACGCAGCCCGACCCCCTCCCCGGGCAGCCGCGCCCGGGGGCCGCCCGCTCCTTCCACAGCCGCCTCCCCGGGGGAGGCCCCACCCCGCAGCGGAGCCTCACCTTTCCGCAGCTCCCGCTCCCACACGCTGACGATGAGCGCCGAGTGCTTGCGATGATGGATGAGCCACAGGCTCAGGGTCTGCACGCTCTGCTGCGAGTTGCTCAGCTCCGACAGCTTCCGCTCCAGCGCCGCCTCCGAGAACGCCGACATTCCGAGCCCCGCTCGGCCCTGCCACCCCCACCAGCGCGGCTGCGGCGATGCCCGGCCCCGCTCAGTCCCCGCCTCTCCGCCCCAGCGGGGGAGGAGCCGGCAGAGCCCCGTCCCTTCCCGCCTCGCCGGCCGCCACTTCCGCGCGGTCCGACGGCCCGGCGCTGCAAAATGGCGGCGGATGAACCTCCGGAGAGCCGCCCGGCTCCGCCCCCCTTCTCCTTCTTCCCTCACTTCCGGCAGAGGTCCGAGAGGTGGCTGTTGGGGGTGGGCGCTGAGAGGCTCCCGCCCCTCTCGGAGCGTGATGGGTGACCAGTGCGGGACCGCCGCTGCCCGCACGCGTTCGCTTTCTCCAGCGAGGCTGGGTTCCTTGCGTGGCTGAGTAGTCTCTTTTAGGGAGATGCTCTGACGAGGCCTGAGGGCTCTGACATATGGAAAGCAAAGGAGTAAAAAAAAAAAAAAAAAAAAAAAAAAAAAAATGTTGGGAAGGTCTTCTTTTGGTTCTGGGAAATAAAAAACTGACCCGAATAAGGCCCGAGGCAAACTGGACATACCAGCTTCTTAAACCTCACAGGTTAAGAAGCTCGTTGTGATGCAGGGCACATAGTATTTAGTGTTTGCAATACAGCCTTCACAAATTAGTCTGGCCTCACGCTTTAAAATTTTGTGGCTTCTTTCTTGTGTGCGTTGTTGTATTTTGTTTGTATAAGTCTCTGGCATTAACTATCTTCTGATGGGATTCCAACGTCCAAATGCAGCTGACAACTGATCACTAGTGATGTTCCACTGGGGGTCGGTACTGGGGCCAGTCCTGTCGAATATCTTTATTGACGGCATGGACAAGGAGTTTGAGTGCACACTTAGTGTGTAGGTTGACACCAGGATGGGATTTGCCTGAGCGTAGGAAGGCCCAGCAAGGATTTGGACAGGCTGGATCAACAGGCTGAGTCCAAATGTATGAGCTTTAACGAGTACGGAGTCCTGCACTTCAGCCACAAAGACCCCATGCATTGCAACAGGCTTGGGGCAGAGCAGTTGGAAAGCTATATGGGGAAAAAAGATCTGGGGTGTTAGTCAACAGCCAGCTGTTTCCAGGTTCCAATGGAATCACTGTTTCCACATGGCCAAGAAGACCAATAGCATTCTAGCTTGTATCAGGAACAGTGGTGCCAGCAGGAGCACGGAAGTGATCATCCGTCTGTACTCTGGACTGGTGAGGCTGCACCGTCAGTACTGTGCTCAGTTTTGGGCCTCTCACTACAAGAAAGACATTGAGGCCCTGGAGCACATCCAGATAAAGGCAATGAAGCTGTGAAAGGTCTGGAGCATAAGTCTTATAGGGAGCTGCTGAGGAAACTGGGATTGTTGAGTCTGAAGAAGAGGAGACTCAGGGGAGACCTAGCACTCTCTACAATAACCTGATAGGAGGTTGTGATGAGGGGGGGGGTCAGTCTCTTCTCCCTGGTAACAGTGATGGAATGAGAGGTAATGGCCTTAAGTTGCACCAGGAGAGATTCAGATTGGATATTAGGAAAAGTTTCTTCTAAGAGCAGTAATGCACTTAAGCTCATACATGTTTAACATGCATAACTTACTATTGGGACGCCACTCTTTAAACAGTGTTCCTTTCACACATCCAGTTTGTCATCACTAAACAGCAGAAAGCTAGTTAAAAAAAAATAAATCCCTATATTTTACAATTTAACAAGATTTTCTCTCTATCTCATGTCTGACATTCAGACGATGGCCCAGACAATTGCTTTCAGGTAATTTTCCTAATATTGGTTCCTGGTGAAATATTCCATTTCAAACAACAACAACAACAAAAAATAATAATAATTGTGAATGGTGAATGGGAGCATTAGGAGGTCTTCACATTAATTCTGTCCACAAAAAAAAAACCAGATGTATCTGTGGCATGGATGACTGAGGAACTAGGAGGAATTTTACAGAAATGCACTTGAGAAAGAAAGTTAAGTGATGAGAGATCTCCAATTAGCCTCATATTCTCTCAGCTTACTTCATCTTGATCACCAATAACAGAAGAAATTCTAATACACTGCTATTTTTGCAATGTACAGCAGAGGACACTCTGGTCAAGTAGAACTGGCCAGTGAAGTAAAATTAATACAGAGCTAACAGAGGTGCATGCATTAGAAAAATGAAATATGAATGATAATTTAGTACCTACCATTCAAATATGGCTTTTGAGAGGCATGTATTCTGACATTAATGGAAAAACTTTTGGATGACTATGGAACAAGAAGCATTTTTCTCACCTACAAGACTGGTTTAAAAAGTACTTGGCAACAAACTGTAAAATTTAGAAGTTAAAGCAGGAAAGATAAGAAAAAACAAACAGGAATGAATCCCCAGAGATAGGTATTTATTCTGTGAATGAATATATTTAAACGCCAAGGGAGTGATTTATAATCTGTTCATGATATAACTTGTACTGTACAGCAAAGCTGAGATTTTAGTTTCCTCATAAATCTTTATAGCACATATTAAATTTGTAATCATAAATGCTTGCATCAGTAATCTAATTTTGAAAGCCATGCTTACCCAGTCAGTGCATGGAAATTTACCATGAGATTTACACAAAGTAAAGTGAATCTCAGACAGGCAGTATTCACAGGTTGGTTTGCTGTGGAGTTTTGAAAATCTCAGCTTTAATTCGGAAACAGTGCATGAATTATTCACCTGTCTTTGGAAAGTTCACCTGCGTCCATAGGGGCAGACTTGCAAATGGATGTTTTCTCTCACCTATTCCTGTTCAAACTATAAAAACACCTTTTCTCTGTTCCTAAGAATAAAATTATGCTCTGCTTCCGTTTTGTCTGATCACCATGTATTGGTGGTAGTCAGCTGTGTTCTCCTGCTCCTTGCGGGGTGAATCCAATGCAAGTTTAATATGATGGCTGTGGAGAAATTACTTAGTTGATATTTTTGTAGAACAAGGGACCTGAAATTTCCAGATACTTGAAAGCTGTAATTACCTTTCAGACTGAAGCTACCTAGAGGCTCTACAGCATCCTCACAATATGTGCTATTTAAACGATTTATAAATAAAACTTATCCACACTAAGATACAGATATTTTATTATAAATATTTATTAACTACAGTTGTTATAATTGTTTTATTTCTAAATGAAGTAAATTATATGTTTTTCATTTTTCCTCATCCAAGGACATCTAAGTTTTGAGATCTGTTACCTTGAGAGAATCACAGGGAGTGTTCAAGCACTAGGAAAGCTGATAGTGCTTTATGGGAGAGGAAAAAAAAAAAAAAAAAAAAAAAAAATCAAAAAAGTACCAGTCCACATCACTGCATCTTGGTTTTTCTTTGTTTATTTTTCCAATACCTGAGCATTTTGGTCATCCAGTCAGTTCAAAGAGAAGAGTTTGCTTTGCCAAGATGCTGGGACACATCATGTCTTGACTGTGCTAAAGTACTCTCCCGAAAGCAATCATTCCCAGGCACAAGTCTGTATTTGTGCACATCATCTGTCCGAATCACCTCAGTTTATCATCAGAACACTGATCTCTATTCCTTGGATTTACCCTTCAGGAAATGTGGCTGGGCTTAGCTCTCAGTGCTCTTGGAGCCATGATCAAAATGAAACTGCCCCAAGACTTATCACCAAGTATTTTTAAAGGTACAAAACAAAAAGATGAGGTAATATGGGTCAAAGTGTTTTTCTCTGAAGCTGACAAGAAAAGGAAGAATTAGACTGCAATATGAAGATGGGGAAGCCAAATGAAGCTAAAGGACTGGGCAAAGAATGCAGTTTGCATTGGTTGAAAGAGCGCTCAGAGCAACAAAATGGTCATAGCCCAGTTACCTGCAGTATTTCTGCCACTGTCACAGAAATAGCTTTCCCTTGAGCAAGCTGAGGTACTGCTAAAGAAGCAGAGGCACCACTTTTCCCATTCTTTTAACAAATTTGCTTCTGCAGGCTCTCTGTCCCAGCTGTCTTTTCACTTCTTCCCTTCTTTCCCATGGCAGAGAGAGCCTGGCACCCCTCAGACACTCTATTTGCACATATTACTTGGAATAGTTCTTCACCCACACCTGGGGCAAGCTTTTCTGTTTGCCTTTGTTCGTAAGCTGTCTTTTGACTTTTATAATGCATGCACATCCTTTCACCAAGATTTTCTTTAGCACAATTTAACTGATCCAAACCAGTTAAACCAACCAATCCAAACCAACTTAACTGATTGATTTATGCTAAATCAATCAATCATCTTCTTTTGGAAGATGCAGCTGAAGTTATTGAGCCCCAGTGATGTCTGGAGGCTTCCATGAGATTGCTCTATAGAGCAGCGCTGTACCACCGAATTCCAGAAATATTTGCTATATAAAATATGGATACTCAACTACTTTGCTGTTCACAGAGCCCAAATATCTCATTTCATGGTTTGATGATACGAACATGTCTTAATTTCAGAATCAATTTTAACTGTGATTGCTTCCTTGAGGGCACTCCATTCAGGTATTCCCCCCAGACAGCTATCACCCTTATAAACCATTTTATCTTGAAGTCCAGAGATGTAGCTGGATTTGGGAATATTCTGTGCTTCACTGGAATTATTTAGGAACCCTTATTTGACTTCATTATATAAAGCAGTAAAACAATCTATGTATATAGTTGTTTAGTAGACATAGTTGATCGGCTGTGTACAAATTTAAGATGATACAGACACTTATTCAACACCTTCCTCTTCTGCCTGTTGACTCCTTGCTATAAACATGAACCAGATCTTGCTTCAGAACTGAGAACATACCTTGCCCTGTATGAAGTATTTTATCATTTTTCTCTTTTTTTTTTGTAGCTTTTTTTTCCCCTCAAATTGTCCCATTCAGGAGATGTGGTGTTAAAGGAGGAATGGGCTTTCTCTAATCTTGTTTCCTACCTGAGAATTTGCGTCAGTCAGCACACCAGTTGCTGCTGCCTGGGTCTCAAAAATATATCACAGACTTACTTACCAGTTCTTTTTTATAGTTCTGAGCATTCAGAACATCCAGGGTCTTTAACGTACCTCAGTATAACAGTTTCTGGAGTTTCACACTTTAAATACTTTTCTGTCTGTTTTCAGTATGCTTGTGCTCCTCGCATCCTGAATCTGTGGAACTGATCCTGGTTACATATCCCAGTAAGGATAGACAAAGGAACAAAAAGTGAAGACTCTGAAACAT